CAAAGCGCTCTGTTCTATTCAAAGAAATTGGTTTTCATTTTTGTAATATATTGCATTTTGCGTACTGTTTCAAAGCACCCATGATCGTAGCCAATGTGCTAAATGTCCCTTTTCCTCTAGAAAGCATTGAAACCTACTCAGCAAAAGAGTTCAAATGAAAACGTTAATTATGAAAAACAGCAGATACCACTAAATAAACTTAGCAAGAAAAAAACTCATTTTGTAACAGTTTCATAATTATGATTATCATGAAATAATAATTATGATTCTAATAAAATAAAAAAAAGTATAATTGCAATTTTAAATGGAGTGACAACTGTGCAGGAAACAAAACAGAACTGTGGATAAAATCAAACAAATCAGATGAGGTCCCCGAGGTTAAAAATACAAAAGCTCTTGAACTGTTCATGCAAGTGTAGTGAAATGATACATTACGTATACTCTCATTATATAATTTATCCAATAAAATATTTTATTTCTGACCATGTCAGTGGGATTGTTAGCGAGAGGAAATCTTGGACAGCACTGCAAGAATAAAGTCACTGGAAAAATGAAAAAGTGGGAATAAGGTTCCATGTCTTTCTGGAATTTAATTTGATGTATGACAAAATCATTTACCATAATCCCATGTTTAGTACTGTATTTTCCAAACTCAGATTTTTTCATGGATCCACTGTTCCATCTAGTGGAACCTATCAGTAGCAACATGCTGTCTACAGAAAATACAGCAGATGCTCTAAAGATATCACTCCTTGATCCAGTAATGTCAAATGTTCTTCTGATTCCTTCCTTGATCCTGTAATGTCAAATGTTCTTCTGATTCCTTCCAATAGGCTCTTATTACTCAACTGAATCATTTGTAGGCTTAATTATCTGGGTTATAAAGTCATTGAGATGTTGGATCTCCTTATAAAATCTCCGGGACGTCGTGTCAGGAGCATTGCTCTTCCACAAAGTTGCAGTAATTTGTAACAAAAATAGAATACTGCTCATGTTTTATCTGGGCATATTTCCGTAACTCCCTTTATATACATTTTATAATATAAAGTTTCAGGCATCCAAAACTAACAGATGACTTCCTATCAAAGTTCTTCATAAACATACTCAAGGATTTCCAAACCATATGGAATCCTCAGTCAGAGATCTGAATTCAGGTTCTTGGAGGGCGGGTGTGTCCACAGGTTTTGCAATCCAGCTAGTCTTGTAATGACCTGAATCAGTTCATTAATGGCCGAATTAGACCAGTTTAACAGCTTTTTCTAGTTCCTTAGGCGCTTTATAGAGGACATCGGCAGACATGCCGGCATCCAGTAGTAGAATTGGGAACGCCTGAATGCTCCCTAAATGTTCTTTTGTAAATTTACCTTGTAATTCCTTGTCTAATCTGATACTACATCAAAAAGAAAGTCTGTAATGGACCCTGCAAATTTTGTAATGTAAGGCAAACTGGGAGTTTACCTCCTCCTACACAGGACACTAATCCATCACAATGGGGGACCAGCAAAGCTGGAACCCTTTTATATAACTGGGTGGCTTGTTTGGAGAATTTGTTAAGGTGTTAAGGGAACAACAGATGAACTCCAAAGGGGCAACTTCACAACCTTTCAGGAAGAACTCCAGAGCCCTAACTACTACTCTTTGCAAAGAGAAATACAACATCAAGGTTCTGACTTAAAAGGAAAGCACGCCCCCATATTTCATGAAGCAGCTTTAAAAATGCTATCATACATTTTCATTGCAATAGATCTACTGTACAGCAATAATAATATAATACAGTGTTTTGCACAAGTAAATCTGAAGTCGGCTCAAACTGATAACTTTTAAGGCTAAGAATACCTACAGGTAAGATAAGGTACAGTAAATTTTATGAATCATTAATTCATTATTACATAATACATTGTTATGAATACAACATATGTATTCAGACCTCTGATCTCAATATTTAATGGGAGCATCTTTGTCAGCAATTACAACCGCAGGTCCTTTTGGGCCGATCTCTACCAACTTTGCTCATGTTTATACGTTAATCACATCCAGAAAGGATGCATTCAAGTTTTTCTCCCTTGTTTAAGACTTTCCGCTTTCCTGTCCCACAATGTAAGATCTACAATGGATTTTTAAAGCATAAAGATATCGTTTAAATGAACTAAATAGCAATTGATCGAATGTTCAACATTAAGTGTGAATTAAATCTTACAATAGCAAAGCTAAAATATTTTCTTCAAGATAGGATTTGTTTTAGATTTTTAGGTTAGCAGCACTTTTTTTTTCCTCTTTCTCAACTGGATTGAACTGTCCTGTGCTACTGTCATTATTGCATTACTGTTAGAAGTTAGACTGAGGTAATAACCAGCGACTCATTTATATTTAATTGTTGTCGTTTCCTCCCCCATTTTCTGCACAGCTTTCTACAGCTTTTTATTTTTCCAGTTTCAAAAAAGAGAAACCCTGATTAAAGCATAGTTTCAAAAGCACACGGATATTTTTGAAGTGTATGCTTATATGATAATGTAAAGTACCAACAGGCCCTTCCTATGCTGTCCCATTTTGTGAAATTACAAAATGATACTCATTTTTTTAACTTCATATTTTATTCAAAACCTCAGTGCTCAAACTGAAGACTTCCCAGGATAGGATAAATGACAGTTAAGGTCAGCAAAAACAAAAGGGAAGAAAACCTCAAGTACTTTCATTGTGTAAGCATTCAGTGACTTTAAGATACGGTCGAAAAGGTAGCAATTAACAGTCACAAGTCTTATTGGGTAAGTCTTTACCATTGCACACTGGTTTCTTGGGATCGGGAATCTGGGATCGCTTACAGACAGGAGTTTTTTAAGTCCTTCCTGAGATTCTCAACAGGATTCAAGTCAGGACGTTGACTCTCCCACTCAATTGCATTCAGTTTCTTATTCTTAAGCCACTCTTGAGACACCTTTTGCTTCTATTCGCCAATACTCGCTGTCGAGGTTCATGTAGGCCTGCATTTGTTAAAGATATAACGGCTATGAAAGTGACATAAGGTAAGTAAAAGGTATTGTGTATTGTATATTGTTGGTAATGTCCAACTATCCCAGGTTTAAAGGCATTCAAGGAAACCCTTCAGAATAAATAGGCTTTTTTTGTAGACCTTTTTGCTTTCATAGTGCAGCTTTGATAAATATGTTTAGAAAACATAATGGCCACGTTCATGACATTTTCTGGTGTTCATGATAAAGTCAACAAACCAAAGATTCCAAAATCAAGAGAATTTACAGTGCCAAAACTAAGTGTTGAATTAGAATCTTGAAAATGTATGTTGCTCCTTACAAATTCTGCTTGGTATTGTCCTGTGTGATTTTTTAATTGGCTTCAGTATCTTTTTCCAATGCAGTCTAATGCTGTGTACCAGTATTCCAGTTTACAGCAATACATTCTAGGAATACATTTTAGGCATAATATTCTGAAAATTTATATACAGTATATAATTCCAAATTTAATTTTGCCCACTCATAGTAACTTACCTCATTCAACATGATTTTCTGATGCAGAATGGCACTCTGGAAATCATTACACATGGTCTTCACCTAGTTTAACAAAATCTTTGTGGTCCTCAGTTCTTACAAAGCATCTCATTTGTGAATAACACAAAAAGAAACAGTCCCTTTTCTTTCCTGAAGTCAGAATAATGAACGAAAACCAGTCCCTGTTTCGTTCCTTCACACTTTCTCAGATTGGTATGACAATGAAGAGATCCACAATCATAGTTATTAGTCTGCTCTTGTAAGTATAGTCTAGGCATTAATAACATGCTGGTCTGGGTTGTACCCTAAAACATAATCAATTAGCCATCGATACTAATTTCTTCGACTGAAGATTGACATTAAGGTGGTAGATGTGCCCCTCATTTTTTAATATCCTATTATAAGTCTTAAAGAAGCCTATAGTACCTGCTTTAAAATTCTTATTTGTGCTACCAGCAGTTGCAGATGGATTCTAAAATACTAGTGCACATTCACACATGCAATGTCATATAAAATAGAGATGACAAAAACTCAAAGGATTTTGTGGAGCTGTCCTGCCGATTCTGGGCCAGGCTGCATTCTACAGGAGTTTTCATGTGATCCCCATATTCATGTCATTTTTCCTCTGGGTGTTCTTACTTCCTCCCATCTTCCAAAAACATACAGGCAAGGATTATGGGTCTCTTTAAAACTGTCCACCCCAATTGTTGGGGTGGGCAGGTGGCACAGTGCTGGGGCCCTGTGTTCAATTCCTAGGGTGCCATCTGCCTGGAGTTTTTTAGGTTCCCTCCCTGTTTACAGGGGTTTCATCCAGCTGCTCTGGGTTCGTGTGTGCTCTGCGATGTACTGATGGCCTGTCCAGGGTAGGCCCTGTGGGATAGGCTCCTGGCCACCATGACCCCAAATTGGATTAGCGGTTATTGAAAGGGATGTGTAATGATCTGTTTGTGCCCTGTGATGAAATGGCATCTCATCCAGGCTGTAGTCCTGCTTTGCTCCCAAGGCATCCAGTATAGGCTCACAGTTCCCATAACTGAACAGAAATAGGCAGGGACAGCATATCAATCCATTTGCAATCCGTTTTGCAAAACACTAATTCTGTTAATTACACAGGACTTACCTTCTTCTTGGTTGGGTCCTACCAATTCATGTCTACATCTGCCGACTCAATGTTCAGCTATTGGCATTTAAAAAAAAAAACTCTACCACCCTTATCCACCTGGGATTCTTAGTCAAGAATAAGATGGCAGAAAAAGCCCACACAAAAACAAGTCAGGTTTAACTCAGATATTTCAACTGCCTATTTAAAAGCATGCTTAAAATAAAGGTACAGTAAACTACACTGTAGTCTTAAAATCAAGAAAAGCGAAGTTGATTGTAGGATATCAGGAGCAGTGTGGAACGTTTCTTTTTACGGAAATAAAAGTTTCCTAGGTAAACCAGATAAGTAATCAAAAAAAGACTTCCTTAAAACTAAACTGATAAAAAATGAAGACAGAAACTACTTTAAAATTTATTGGGAGACATTCCTTATACAGTGTTCAAGCCAAAACCAGACATTAAATTCATAAAAAACAAGCTGGAATCTTTAAAAAAAAAAAAGATCTAGAGACTACTCCAACAAATGTTTAACACAATGGACATTTTAATTTAAAATAGGAACACATAATACACGTGCATTGGATGAAAAACTAAAAGGTTCTGTGAGTTTGTGCGTCAGTGATTGTACCATTAACAAGCGTTTTAAAAATCTAAGTGGCACTGGCAATTTCTTCAACCCTGATAAGTAACACGATCTCCATTCCAGGACAAATTTAGAAAAATCTTTTTCAGCTCCTTTTCTCTTTACAAGAAAGGCACAGGACGATTATAACTTAGATGCTAAACCGATTAATTCAGTACATATTTAACCCAGCACTGGGCTCCCTTTAACCCCATGGGGCTGGTTTGAGTCCGCCTCAAGACTGCAGTGCTGCTTGCTCACTCTCCTTAGCTTTCAGCTCCTGTTTGTATCTGTGGAGAAACAGGCAGAAAGAGGACTTAGGACCAATCAGTGTTGAAGATCTTTCGTTTGATGCGAAAAACCAATGGCAATATTGTTAAGTGCTCTATACACTTACACTGTGCTTTATACCGTCTTATTCTATGGAAATCTACAGCTTTCACTGGCAGAGTGCTTTCATTTATAATGACAGTCATAATATCTTTTTCAGTTAAAAGCATTGCTCAGTAGGATAAAGCAATTCAGAACAGTACTTCACTGAAGCAGTATTTGTTCCAGACACATTTTAAGTTTAATAAATGTGAAAGTGTGAACTTCTAAGAACTATAAGGCAATAACTGACATGTCAGTTAACAAAAGAAGCAGAGAGAACTGCTACAGAAAATGGTTAAATGGTTTGAAAAAGCTCCCAATATCAAAGTACAATTTGTAATGCATATTTGCAAAACTTGGGTAATTGATTGATAAGGATATCAAGCATGATTTGCTAGCATTTGTTATTGCGACTTCAAATATCAAATATAATGAGTCTCACTCATTAAGTTGTAGAGGACCTTGATAACTTCAAGATGTTGAATAAATGTTACCTACCATGTAGTATGGTAATCTCTTGGTAATGCGTGATCATACAATACAATGATCTAGGTTGTCCTGTATATTGTTAAATTATCCTATATATTAATTTGTAAGTCGCAGGTTAATGTAAACTTTATTGTTTAAGGCAATGTCTAGCCATATTCAATAAAAATACTAATACACAAAATCTCATCACAACTTTCATTTATGCCGGTCTCTCTCTCCCTCTATCCTGTTGAATTAATGCGTCACGGCTTTTCCCTCATGGTTCAGAAAAATTACTAATATTTTGACAGATATCATTGAACTGTCATTCTACAGTTTAGACATACATTTGAGCAACATTTGTACTTTATGGATGAGGTGAGATTTGTGCCTCTGTCCTTAAAAATTCTAAACCTCTACTGAAGAGCTTAGTAGAATAAAGCTCTTGGTTGAAGGAAAATCCACCAGTATAGTTTAAAAAAAGTGTCAGCTGAGTAGCAGGATTCCTTGGCACACAATAGCTGACTAACTGGGTGTCTGGGTACAATGCTGGCACATTGCCTGGGCAGAATGACACTTACTTCCAGATTCGGAAAAGCTGTGAGCTACCAGCACAGCCCACAAAAAAGTTAACTGCAAAAAGGTTCCAGTTTTTCGGAATAATGACCAGGGAATATCTGGACCAAATCAAACCTGAAAAGAGATGAAACAGTTAAGATATCCTTTAACATACTCATTTCCAAATACCCGCAGGAAATAATATCACTATAACTTTATTGAAAGTCCATACTCCAATGTTATATTGGTAATAATTTCTCATATTAAATTATAAAGCTATTTTGTACATTTCCAGTATTTATTCTTTCATTTTAGGGCCAAAAGTTTCAGTAGACTTAAAAGAACAGTCTAACAGCAAGTATCCCAAAATCCATTAACCATATATACACTTTTAAACTTTATTTGCACCTGTTAGGAGGGAAGAATGGATTTGCTGGTATTATGCAGTTAGTCAGCATTGCTTTGCTGACCATTGAAAACACAAAAACAAAAGGTTTAATCACATAGAATGTACAAAACCATCCATTTTCTCAGCACTTTGTCTTATACAAGGTCACGGTATGAGCAATGGGAACAAGGCAGGACACACCCCAGAGAAGATGCCAGTCCATTGAAGAAACTCTCACAAACGCACTCAAGGGCCAATTCTTCCAGAATTGAATTAACCTACCAGCATGTCTCTGGAGGAAACAGGAACACCCCGGGAAAACTCACATGAGCATAGGGAGAATATACAAACTCCACACAGATGGCACCCCAAGAACTGAACCCAGGGTCCCAGAGCTGCAAGACAGCAATGCTATGCACTGCGTCGATGTGCTGGCCAAACAAACGAACAATTTAAAGGTATCAAGGACCTTTGCTGGGAGAATTTAATTGTGAAGAGTTAATACAATGCAGAAACTTTAACACTAATAAAACAACACTACATGGTTCAGTTAAGAACAACTAAACCCCTAATCTGAAATGCAAAGTATGCATTTCCGAAATCCATTTTGATTTGAGTGACAGTGAAGTACACCCACAAAACACATAGGAATCTTTTGGTTGAGCTCATTGCTGTTCCTGCACTAAACTCAGAAAGCTGGATGCAGCAAATGAATACAATAAGCCATTGCAGAAGTAGAGTATTTAAGGGCATACTGTACCTCTGCAATTTACACCACATCACAAGCTAGGTTTGAAAAACAGTTATAAAAACTAAACCTATCAGATTTAAAGATTGCAATCTGAGATTGCAAAAAAACTGCAGGAGAAAATAGTCTCTCCTGCAGTTCTGTTGATTTCGTAACAGCACGAACCTACTTTTTGTTTTGGTTGGCTACATAAACAAGTTTAAATCTTCAGGCCTATCACTGCTTGCATGCAAATACATCCAAGAGTTAGTTGCCAGAACATGATTCCAGAATATTGGATGACACAGGCAGCCAAAATAGCAGTGTCCTCAGGAATCCTACATATGAAACTCTTTCCAAACCAGTTTCACTCAATTTCAGAAGACCAGAAAAGAACACTCTGCTGATAAATGCAAGCCCTGAATAAAATGCTGAACTTTGTGAGAGAGCAACAGAAAATAATGTAACATATTCTAGTTCAGTCCTATTTGCATTAAATCTACATTTGACCGATGTGGTTTGTGATTTCATTTTCCCCTCCCAGTAGGTGCGAAGAAAAAGATTGTGTTCTTCTTCCTGTTATTACCTGTGGCAGTCAGTACACCGGACTGAGAGATGCTGAGCTTCTCTGCAGGTCGGGTCATGTCTGCCAGCCCTGCGAATACCAAACCCTAATGACGAGCAAAAAAAAATGTTCCCATTAGACTTCAAATTACAAATGCTACCAACTGATCTGTTATATACTGTCATATTGTCTCCTTATCCAGGACACAAATTAGACCAACAGTCACGTTCCTCCATATTTTCCATCTACATTAACTATAGAAATATTGTAGTTATTATTAATAATTGTATTTAAGATCACAAAAAGGTAATAATTTAATGTCTATTTCTGCAAGCAGCAAAGAGGTAATCATTAACGTTCTTGTGCTTTGCTCCTTGCAATTTCCTATAAAATCTTAGTAAGTCGCTGACTACATTTTATGAGATGTATTCAATTTTAACCTTCACTCATAAAATGAGATTGAGTTTAAATAACTTCTTAACCCACCCCGTTTCGAACAGTATTCTACTTTCAAATACAAGAACACAGAAAGTATGCCGCCATTATATCCAGAAAGGCACAAAAAAAAAATCAGTGAAGACTTTTTACTAGCGGATTGTTATCAAACACACACACGTTTTTACAGTCAATGTAGGATTTAAGACATAGTTCTTGCAAAATAAACTCTCCAGTCATATATGCATGTTGTATAAAATATGAAGTTCACGGTACAATAGAAAACATCTACACCTGTGTTGCTCAAAAACTTTAGCCTGCAACTTACATCTTTACGAGAATTACCAAGTACAGTGCTCCACTGACATGTCTCTCTGAAAAGAGGCTGCAGACATGGAATATTGTAGAAAACATTAAGGAGTATGGCGTGCGTTTGGCACTCCTCAGAGACTCTAGATTGAAATAAACACCATACAAACAAACTTATTTCAAGTTACTTACCCATTTAAACACCGGTGCCCAGAAGAAAACCGTTTTCGGTCCTATAGATCACAGAAAAAAAAAGACTTACATTCTGCACGGCAACTTAAATCATATAAAATCTACATTGTAAAACTTCAAGTGTTTACATTTCACAATACAATACACCTCTCTCAAAGCTGGGACAACAGACATTCTTTCTAGCATTTTCAAAGTTTTTCCTTTATCTAATCTCATCACTTGAGGTAATCACAATGGTCAAAAATCCAGTTGGCTGAGAATTTGGACTAATTTTTAACGAAGACATTACATCACCCTTTTTAAAGACAGGATTAAAATATCACTAATCAGGGATAGGATATAGCAGAGTGGCCTATTTCTATTTACAGTATGCCTTATTTGTGGTATCCTACAGGCTACAATACCTGTCATTTGCACTCTACTGGAACATGGAAAATTGTTTCCATTCATTCAGTATGCGTTTTAAGGAATATTTCAATTGTGAGAATTTTTACAAGAAGCTGTTTCCTCTTTTCCATATATATATATATGTGCAGTGGCAGGGTATTATTCAGTGTTCTTAGGTCTGTAAAACACTGGACTGTACAGATTTCTAAATGTCTGTACAGAACAGCAGAAAACTGTTTTTGTAAAGTGTGCCGATGTTTTATTGCATGGTTATTACTTTGGCACAAAGTATGGTAAAGTAAGGAAACGTGCACTGTTGCTGCTTGGTTGTCTCTATAGACATTATGCTTGCAAGGCCAGCTACTACCTGATCATCTTATTTATAACATTTCAACTTACTCACTCACCTAATGTGGAACTGTGTACACTGTAATGCATAGAAACAACTACAAAAACAAAACCTTTACAATGTTTTTCGCAATTGGCATTTGTGGTGTCATTGCGGAAAGTTCTCCTTTTGAGAGTCCTACTGTAATTGAGAAGTTACCTCTTACACATTTGTATCTCCCATTTTCTGGTTAATGTATACTACCTAACACAATGATCCAGATAGTAAACAGATTACATTTAAGACTAAGGTTCAAGAGGTTAATTCTATATTAACATGTAAACCTATCCACAAAGAAGTGCTAGTATAATACCAAATACTCTGTTTAAGAGGATAAGTGCTGCCTAATTCACTGTTAAGGAGAAGGATGAAATACAGAAATATCCAACTACATCTAATGCCATGTCACAAATCAATGACAGATAGTCTTCATAAACAAATCACTGACAGGATCTAAAACAACAACACCTAATACTCAATAATAATTGCTTACACTTATATAGCGCTTTTCTGGACACTCCACTCAAAGTGTTTTACAGGTAATGGGGACTCCCCTCCACCACCACCAATGTG